TACAAAATTTGTAGTATGTTGCAACAGAGTTCGATTACAAGTGAGTGTGGAAACAGCAAACGACCACAAAAGCACCCCCGAAATTACCCAATTGATTAGAGGATTTCTCAAGAATGACTTTTATACTTACTTGATTTTCGAGATATCTAAGTAAACAGTGGTTCCATCAATACCGGAAAATTTGAGAACTTGTGCAGTGTGTTATAAACTCATTGTATAGCTAATCATGATTAATTTCTTGCACCTGCTACTGTCATGAACCTAATAACCAGATATTCTCTATGAAAACTGCAGGAAAGAAGGCTCAACCTTTTATATTTAAACTTCACCAGTAAATTAGGAAATGAAGAAACGGGAGAACTCTTGAAGTACTCAATACAAGGTCTTGAATGACATGTTTTCATTTTTGAAATCGCGTATCGTCATGTCGTCAACCAATTTTGATTTTCTGCCCTTATGATAACGCAGAATCTGTGTAAAGGTGTGAAACTGGTTCGCAAAAAGAAATTATGAGTACGCATTTCTATTCAATTCCCTGCTACAACCATTCAGCTGGCCATGCAGCTCTATCATACTTCCATCATCGGCAAATCTGACTATTTCTAAGTTGTGCACTGACAGACAAATTGGAAAGACACAGCTAGGTTGCTCCGAAAAGGTTGAGGCCCCCTGCGCCTTACGATCAGCTCATCGTTTGTTGTAATGTCGAACAAATAAACGCCTGGAATCCTTTGATGTCGTCTTCGATTTACTCCAGCGTCAACAGTTTTCTCCACTGTCAACAAATTCAGGAAAACAAAGTTGTGAAAGTACTGATTCCTCCAGTTTGGTTGGTTCCAGTTTTTTGATTTCCCAAACAAAATTCGAATTTCATACAAACCTTCAAGATGTGGGATAAAATAACAGGCAAAGCGCTTTGGTTGAATTATGGCTTTGAAACAACCTCATTCCGATGGTTTGCCAAAGTATTGAATGACAGATTCACAAAATTACTTCTAGTTATATTTTCAAGTGATCCGGGTATTTTTAGGGTTCCAATAACGTCATGCATTACCAGAAGCGTAACATTCCGAAAGTGGCACGACACTACTACGTATTTGATTTACATCCATCCATCCATTTACATCCATGAAAGCCTCATAAGTCTTCACCAGCTAAAAATCCAAGTACTCCCACAAACTCTAAGAAATTTTTTAATTGGGATTTTGTGAATAGCAGAATCAGCTTATCGCTGACAAGTCTTGGGATACAATTTCTCAAATAATAAATTCGGACTGTTTCTGTTCTTGTTTTTCGAAAATAATGGAGGGTCGTCCTTGGCTCATCATGTTTTGTGACCCATTATTCTTGATCACTGATGATTTGTGTACCCATAGAGCGTCTTGAAAAGTTATGATTTTCGAACTTTTTCATACAATTCCAAGTTTAATAATCGTTAAACCTTGTATGCATAACGATTGCACACATCAGCTTAAGAGATTGTGCTATGATTGAAAAAAAATTCTAATTTCTGAGAGACTTTTTCATGACTTGTTGTGCAAGATCTGTGAAATCACCTGTTGATCTCGATTCTCCTCGTTTTTTTTGCATGCCTTAGATTTGCTAATAAAAAATTTTTTGCTTTTGCGACTTGTGGAATTGTAACAGAAAAAGCCGACTTGTGGAATTGTAGCAGATAATCTCTGCCTCTGTTTTATAGGAATGATGATTCAACAGAAAACAAAGTGTATCTGCTTGAGTAGGGTTTTCTTTACGGTGAGGAAGAGCATAGAAAATTTGAGGAACAG